CCCCCACACCCCCTATGGATTCCCACCACCACCACCACCCTCCTCCTCCTTCTCGGCCGCCACCTCCAGCCGACTGCGCCGCTCCCCGGAGGAAATGCCCGCCGCGGTCGCCGGCCGGCCCCGGGGGCGAGCCCCCTTCCTCCCCGCGGCTCGCCGGTAAGAACCGCCCTCCCCGCGGCGGCGGCCGCCACCACCGCCGGGCCGCCGCCTCCTCGGCGGGGCCAGGGCAGCCCGGCAGGGCCCTCAGGGCAGCCCGGCCGAGCGGCCGGCGCCCCTCGCCATCGCCGCTGTAGTAGTAGTAGTAGGAGAGCGCAGATACGTACAGGACTGGCGCACAGCAGGGCGGCAGCGGCAGGCTGAGCCGGGCAGGGACATCCCCGTCAGTGGCAGCCATGGAGCTGAATCATTTTGGGTATGAAAGAGACGGAATAAGGAGGGAAGAAAAGCAGCAGCAGCAGCAGCCCGACAAGAGAGTCCATGAAAAGAGGGAGGGAGGAAGGGGGAGCCAGCCGGGCAGCCTCTCTCTCTCCTCCCTCTGTGTCTGGCTGTCTCTGGAGGAGGCTCCGCTCCGCACGCTCTTCCTTCCCCCTCCGCCTCCTCCCCCTTTATAACAGGCGGCACCCGCTCTTCCTCCGCAGAACCGCGCCTGGGATCAGTCCTCCTCCTCCTCCCGCCTGCGCGGCTGCCCCGTCCTTTCTTCCCTCCGGGTCTCTCCCAGCTTCCCCGCCGCCGCCGCGGGTCTCTCCCCCGCCCGGCCCCGTCTCCTCACGGAGCGCTGGAGGAGGGCGCTGCGCCGGGCTGCGGGGGGGAGGAGAGAGAGGGAGGGGGGAAAGCTCGCCAAAGGGGAGGGCAGGCGAGAGACAACGTAAGATGGCGGCGGCCGCGCATGCGCGCCCGCCCGGCAGACATAAAGCCCGTCTGGCCCCGGTCGGCGGAAATCGGCTCGGCTCGCGTGGCGGAAATTGCCGAGCGGCGCCGAGCCCGAGGAGGGGGAAGGGCAGGGTAGGGCGGGGGGCGTCTTCTCATGGCGGCGCTCCGCGATGGGGAGGGGGCAAGGCTGTGGCCATGGCGGGCGGGCAGACAGACGCGACCGCTACCCACCACCTAGGCCACCTCGTCCCCTCAGGTGCCCCTCTCCGCCTCTTTCCCGGCCCGCAGCATGACTGTGCCTCACATGACCCGCCGCCTCCCTCCCTCCCCCTCTCCTCGGCTCCGATGCGGATTTATTCAAGTTATTCATCTCCCTTCCTCCCCTCCCTCGGTCCAGAATATTCCTGGCCATTCCTTCCCCGCCCCGCACATGGGGGAAGCGGAGGATCGGGGGCCGCCTTCCCCTTTGTGCCTCCCGCGGGCGGGGGTCGCTGTGAGTGACTCCCCTCACGCCCCCGAAATGGCCGCCGCCCCCGGGGGCTCTCCCCGCTCGGGCGGCCGGGGCGGGAGGATGGTGTCACCGGGAGGTGACCGGAGGCCCCCGGCTGCTGCCACCCGGGCGGGTGGAGGTCGAGCCCGGTGGCGGCGAGATGGTGTTGGGGACGGCAGTGCTGTGGTGGGGACACGGACGCCGCCGGGGCTGAGGGGCCACGAGGCCCGGAGGCGGTTGGGCCAGGTGAAATCGTTCATCTGTGACACGAGTGTGAGTGTGGAGGAGCTTCTGGTGAGAGCTGGAGGGGACACAAAAGGTATTTTTCAGTTACTGGATGGAATTGGGGTGAGATCCGCCAACCTTCCCTCACTGACCCTGTGGCTCTCCTCAGTGCTAGGCAGAGAAGCTCGACGCGCCCATCATGGCGAGGCTGCTCCAGCTCTTCCCCCATCCCAAACTGAGCTTCTCATCGTGGAGCCATGACCATCTGACCTGTGAAGATGTTCAACACAGAGATGCCTGCCAGGAGATTCTTCTTCATGTCTTTGCAGCTGTTAGTGTGCACAGAGCTGGGGGTGCCCAGCAGGTAGGCAGGTGTCTCACGGCCACACCAGCCCCACAGATCCCACCATCAGCATCACTCCACCTCTGCCGTCAGCAGGACCCTCTCCAGGAACGTGATAAATGAAACATCCCACTTTCCTGTGGAGCAGTGGATAGGTTCACACCCTCTCCCCCGTTTCTCCAGCAGCCTGGTGGTAGGGTACCTGGAGAGCTTCAGATGATGCCTGATCCCTGAAGGTGCTCAAGGCCAGGCTGGATGGGGCTTTGAGTAACCTGCTCTAGCGGGAGGTGTCCCTGCCTGTGGCAAGGGCGTTCGAACTAGATGATCTTTAAGGTCCTTCCCAACCCAAACAATTCTATGTTTCCCACCTCCTGGCAGCACATCCTTGTCTCCCAACACAGGCACCTGTGAGCTGGTATAGGTATCTCAAAATGCTTCTTTGAAACTTACCCAGTTTGTATGGAATACAAAATGTTCACAGCGCTTGGCTGGCTCAGGCTAATTCTGTAACCTGACTATGAAACCCGTTGGTTAGGACAGTCAACAGAATGGCAGAAAAAAAGACAGGGCTTGGTGTTTTCTGCAGTGAATATTTAAGCACTTGAAGGGTAGTAGAGCTTTAATGGCAGAGGAGTTGTGAGAGTCCGAGGTGTTATATCATATAGCTGAGTCATTAGAGAGTTCTTGTGGGAGATGTAAATGTTAGTTCCTTCAGGCAGAGGGGAGATTTGAGTCTCTCATGTTCAGTACATGGCGTTTAATCACTGAGGTACTAAAAAAGCTGTTTTTCTAGCTCCATTTTGTGAAAAGGGTGAAGATTCAAGGTCACACGCAGTGGGAGCTTTTGCAGCCTGTTCCTGAATTTCACCCTTCCGTCTTGCCTCTCCCTGTTAACCTAGCTTATCTAGCTCTCACTCAGTGTGGGGACAAGGGTGGCTTTGAGAAAATCCTGCCTTTTGCAGCCTAATTCCTTTTATGTCTGGAATGCAGACATGCAGCTCAGGTCTCGAGGTACCTGAGAGGTAGACTCGCAACCCTTGCTCCTTCCGTGGCTGTGGAACACTGCCTGCACTGAACAGACAGTGCTGAACCCTACGAAATCATTGACGTGCAATTAAATAAGATCCTGCCTTCTTCTGAGAGCAAGACGTTATTATTCCTTAAAACTGATAATCAGAACAGCTTGAAGACCATATTACCTGAACGTGAGCTCCCTACAGGAAGGAGCCTTTGTGTAACCCTCGCATATTTCAGGAGAGCATCACAAAGGTGCCGACAATCTGTCTACATCTTGATGCAATACTACAGCCTTATATGTGTCTTTAATGAGATACTCACACGTGTAAACATTTTTTGAGATGAGAGCCCGAGGTTGCAAGCCAACTTCCATTATAAATTCTTTCTAACTTATTAGAGCTTATAACTTTCCCAGAACAATTTCCTAGAGGAATTAAGTCTTCTATGATTAGTCCCAGCTCAAAGATGATTTTTTGAACAAAGTCCAACTACTTTTAAAGCACATAGGCTATGAATACAGATGAATCTTTTTGAACCTTAAAAATCTACGCAAAAGTAACTCAAAAAGGATTGAGCTATAAAGTTTGTGTGTACCCAATAGACACTAACAAGCCTAAAGAAGTAAAACAGTAGTATTGTAATTGGTTAAATGTTTGGTTTTGCACATGCTAACTTAGTAACACATTCATTTTGAAAAGTCAGTAGTCTTTGGGGTTATAAACTTCTCAGTACAGCATGTGAAACAGTTCTTTAAATCGACTGCATATCATTCTCTTATACAAGAGAAACTGAAGAAAAAATGAAATTTAGATAACAGTGTTCACTTATCTGCATAATGTGGTCAGTGGTCAGTTAACAGACTGTCAGACTAGACTACACAAAGCACATCTGAAGTGGTATGTTTGAAATTAATTTTGTAATGTAGTTAGTAAATATGAATGTCATGTTACACATCTTTTTCTTTGCTTTCTAGTTTTCATTATGTATATGCTTACGCTTCTTTCATTTTTTGTAAGACAGTCTAAGCATGAAAATGGGATTCTCAAAGATTTTAATTCCTCTTCATATCCATCAAGGTTTATGAAATTAAAATTAAACCATTGAAATTGATAATTTAATTGCTATTAATGCTTAAAAGTACCTGAAGAGTGGGTTGAAGGAGGAGGGAGCCAGACTCTTTTCAGTGGTTCCCAGTGAGAGGACGAGGGGCAACGGGCACAAGTTGGAACATAGGAGGTTCCTCTCAAATATGAGGAAAAACTTCTTCACAGTGAGGGTGACAGAGCCCTGGAACAGGCTGCCCAGGGAGGTTGTGGAGTCCCCTTCTTTGGAGATTTTCAAGACCCGCCTGGATGCAGTCCTGAGTAACATGCTCTAACATGCTCCAGGCAATCCTGCCTCAGCAGGGAAGTTGGACTAGATTATATCTATGGTCCCTTCCAACTCTAAAAATTCAGTGAAATTCTGTGAAATTTTATTTAGTTGTTGTTCAAAGTGGGAAAAGAAATTTCATCGTATACCTCATTTACAAACCACCAAATATTTCAAAATTCAGCCACAACAGAATTGACCACCTTCACTTACGGACAGAAAGTGAAATTACTCCATAGTTATTCCAAAAAAGTCCCCCTGCTAATTTTTTAATAAACTTTATCAATCGACTAGCTGGAACCAGAATGCTTTTGTCATCACTGGCTGGATCCAGCACCTTGTTCACGGTGGTCAATGCTCATGGCTGCAGGGCAGATGGTCCTGCAATCCCATCGTTACCTCAGCTGGAGGCTGAAGGCTGCTGGAGGGTTGCCAGTTATAGAGGAATCCCCTTGGATTGCATCTCCTACATCCACGCTTCCCGAATGAGCACACACGGATGGGCTTGATGCAGCAGCCCTTGCTGCCAGGTGGGGAGGGTGAGTGTCCAGAAGAACCTTTACTTCAACCTTCAGATCTTACCATGCGGGTTAGTGCAAGAAAACAAGATCTTCACAGTGCAAATATGGGAGATCTGTCTCCCATACAGGCAATATTTCTTCTGATGAGCCTTGTTGCCACCACAGATTCTCTAAGGATACCAGAAGAAACAGTCTTTTAGTTATTTTCTTTCTTTGGCGTCTTCCCTATGTGACACAGTTGTATGCGTTCACCCTAGTATATGCAGTAGTTTATGTCTTTCTGCAGAGTAATTATAAAGCCAACAAACAGGAGTACTATGGGGTTTTTAGTCAAGACAGTCAAAATCATGGCAAGTCAGTCTGATATGTGTTTTAAATCCCATGTGACTGCTTCATAAATAATTTTTTAAAGACTTTAATGAAAAGAATTTTTTATGATACGAAGCTGCCACTGTTAGTTTAGACAGAAGGCTTTTCTGTGTTCATTAATATTGCTGACTGTAGTCTCTAAGATGATTTACAAAGGTGTACGCAGTTTCTTTTCTTCCTTCTTAGAGAAATACTCCAGAAAATTCTCACCTTTCAGCTCTGAAAAAGTTGTAATTCTGCTTCTGCATTTTCATAGAAAGTTCAAGTCAAGTCTTGATCTTCCTTTCTTGTTTTGTTTTTAGTTGGCTGGTTAGTTGGTTGATTGGGTTTACTGACTGATTCCAAAACGCCTACTGAGACATTTTTCAGTCCTTATTTTAATTCTTGTGAAATAATGTTGAACTTTTTGGAAGGGGAAGTTTTCTCACAAGCTTTTATAAAAAATAAGCTTGCAGAAATTGACAATTCTAGCAATCTTAAAAAAGACAGTCAGTCAGGTCTACTCTAATGCTAATCGAAATCGTATCTTTCTAGATCATCTGGAAAAGTTGTTTTAAATTATTCATTATACCTGCACTTGGGGAATGTGGCCAAGTAGGTAGTCTTTTTGGTTTTGTTTTTGTTGTTGTTGTAATGGGGATTGCATTGAAATTCCGATTTTATGAAAGACTTTCAGAATCTTTTATCATCATCTATAGGCATATAGGCTGTGCGCACTGTATTGTAGGAGTGAGGGTTAAAAGTATATCCAGCCTGTGACTGATGCCTTATCAGCCAAAACACCACCATGATTTTATCACTGTTATCATCTTGCTCTCCTTTACTTCTCCATTTTCACTTGTGTTTGTAGTCAACTGATGAAACTGCATCTCAAAAGAAGCAGCACGTTCTGGAAAACAGCTGTAATGAATGCAGTTCCATAATTAAGTGTTTGTAGAGTGCAGGTCTTAGATTGTTAACTGTTTGATCTTTAATTAGTCAGCAAAGTGGTATATATAATTAAGCTGAAGATCAAATGAAATAAATGATCAAATCATTGAAAAGTGGTCCAGACGTTAAATAGACCCTCCCTTTTTTACCCCTGGAAAATCTGTGAACAAAGTAGCAAGCCAACCAGTTTTTTAGATTAGCTTTAGTCTTCATGAATTATAAACACTTGCATGGGACTATTTAATAGTGTTGGAAATGTGAGCTCTTAGTTTGTAGTTCTCAGTGACAAAGATTGTGTGGAATTGTTTTCTTTTGACCGATCCTAACCCTGATAAAGGAAAGCACTTAAGGAGATGCTTTGTTTAAGAACACACTTTGTATCCCTTGACTACACTAGGGGCCATCACATTCCATGATGTTTCAAAGTTCTGCAATTTATGTGTGATTTTCTTGAATGATCAAGGGTGAATGTGTCTGTTGTGATGAGGCACAAATCTTTAAAATCTCAGGCTAGGAATAAATAGAGGGATTTTTGAATTTCCGCACCCCCCTGAACCAACAGGCTTCTTTGATGCAGAATTATTTGGAAAAGCAGAATGTGTAGAGCATTAGTATTTATCTCAGTGACATATTTTTTTTTTATTACATTATCACATAGTAACTTGAGGCAGATAGGCTGTCCTAGTTGTGAAGGGTACAGAGAAATCCTTCTTGAATTCACTTAATTGTCTGAATCTTGTGTATCTAATTTTCATCTCCCTTTCAACTGTGTCAACAGTATTTCTTCCCATCTAAAACATATTCTGTGGAGGCAAATATTTGTTTGCGCAAATCCAGAATTTTCTATTGGACAGTACTTGAGCAAACTTAAACTTTGGTTTTCATATGCATTAGTCGTAGTGTAACTGAACTGCTTACTGAGAGCAAGCACAGACTGGTCATGAGCACAGCAGAAGCAAACACA